ATTTCTCAATTTCAAATGATTCTCATTTTGAAAAACTGTCCAGCTGTTGACAAAAAACAGGCAGGCAATAACATGTATAAACAAACCCTAATAATGCTCAACCACCTGTCAGTGTGGCCTCTGACTTCATAGGTGACAAGGTGTTTTAGCACAACAATTTATATATTTTTTGTTATTATTTCAATATGGCCCATGTTATCAGTTCTCAATTAAGCATGTGTCTGACAAGTGTGTTTAAGCCCAACGGAGCTGTATCAAGGTCTCCCTGACCTGTGCTCATTGGTGCCATTACAGGGCAGAAATAACCCTATACCCAAACCTTTTAATAATAACATTTAATCAATCCTTACAATTTTTAACAAGTAAATGATGCTGTCAGGGCAAAAACTCAAACACTGCATATGGTCAAATGAAAATCATGATGAAAAAGACCTCTTGTTCAAGTAAAACTGCTATGTTAACTTACCAGATTATCCAAAGCTGACATCCAAAGGACGTACAAAGTAGAGGATGGTTTTATGCCATGATCTGCAATTGACCCAGCAGAAGTGCTGTCAACATCTTTTGAAGATGCAGCTTCCCTGACCTTAAAAACTTCACTGGCCATTTCATCTTGTCCAATAAAATCAAACAGGACCTGAAAATGCAAGACCCAAGATGGCAACTGTCAATTAAAACAAGGAAAATAAGGAACACAGACTAAATAAACCAATGACAAAACCCTTGGTTCGCCTTCACACAGAACTTCTTACCTGAATTGGCTCAGACATGATGAATTTCCTCTTGTTTACATATCCATTTGGATATTTTAATTTAAAAACCTCTCCATCTAGGGGTTCCACACGGGTAGCCATTCGCAATGGCCTAAAAAATCTTTCCCATCTTTCCTCAATGGCCTAAAAAAAATCTTTCACACTAGAAAAACACTTAAAAAAATAAATAAAAATGTAGTGGCAGCACCAACCTTTGTCCGCCTTTCTTCCAAAACCTCATAGCAGTGCCTCCTCCTGTCCTGTAAATACCAAAATACTTTTAAGACTAATTTTTGTTTTTCCTCAAATTAAACTTGGCAAGCATAGAAGGATTTTTTTTTAATTGCCTTTTCTTGGTCTGCCAACAAGGAAGCATTATATTCTTCGTCTTGCTGGGAACGTACTGCTCGCCATTCCTAAAGGGAATAAAGTAAAACCACAAGTCACAAATCATTAGTGGTTACAACCGACACAACTTAAATACTTCTCCACAACATCTAAACTAACTTCACTCACATCCAAATTTACAGATTCTGCAGTCTCTGCATCCAATGAGGTTTCATCCAGTGCTGCAGCAGAGTAGGATAGTTGGTATGAGTTCTGGTACATGGCAGGGGCTGGGGTCATTACCTGGGAGTAAACAAAAACTCTCAAACTCAGTGTGTAACAATAACAAAGAATACATCGGCTCACTGCACTGTAAATTTATTTGTACTGTCACCTAACATAAACTTGTGCGCTGTACAGAAACATCACAGTAAGATTTAAATGAAAGCAAAGAATGTGAACTAAAATTTAAACTTTTAAATTTACATTAAGGTTAAATTAAAAGCCAATTGTACTTGTCATATCATAAAGAAATGGCTCTTTCATTTGAATATTGTGCCTTTGTTTTGCAAAGACATACCTGCAAAACTTCAGCTCGTGGGACAATTTAGAGCCTGCTTTTGCCAACTGCTTTTTTAAAATCCCTCATAGAATTTACATGAACTTTTTGGATCTTGCGTCCTTTGCCTGCTCTTGCCAAATGGAAACCTATCAAGTTCAAACTCACATTTGGGTAGCACTGGCAGACAAAGTTATTTAATTCAGACAGAGTCCAATTTAGTGGAATTTTTGATCTTTGGGTTCCTGTCCCAGATGTTTCCTGCACTGGTCTACCTACAAAATTTAATGTACGTATTAACAACATAAAACAAACAAACAGAGCTCATCAATTGATCATACACTGTATGCAATACCTGAGGTTATGTAAAATGCAGATCACTATCAACAATAAAAACATTTGCTGCTACAGAGTTTTTCCTGCATTCAAAATATTTTTTGTCCTTTTTAATAGCTGACTGGTTTCAAATGCCGCATTAAGATTTGTAGACATTCACGGACATATCTGTTGAGTGCATGAACACAATGCCTTTGTGTACCTCATGCTGAATTTAAGTAATAAACAGCTTTCGTGATTATAATGCCACTGTCACAACAGTGATTATTTTTTATTTCA